CATAATTGCCATTGTATTTCCCTAAATCTTACCTCAAGTGGAAAGATAACCTCACCCAGTTCTACTCAAAGCTGTTATTTTTTAAATAACAGTACTGTGCAGTCTTTTGGTCAGAGACAGTTAACCTAAGCTGTTTTTAAAGGCTTTTACTGTATGCCAGTGGTGACCTACTGTCAACCCTGAAAGATCCTCTTTCATTTTGCACAGGAGACACAATGCAATTTTACTGCTTGGCTATGAACACCTAAGTGCTTGAGTAGGGTGGGAGGAAAAGCAATTCAAATGCATAGCTTGATTTGGTGCAATAACCAGCAGGAAAAAAAGCATTAAGCTTTTTTCCCTGGAATCTGTTCAGACAGAAGGGTACTACTATACATTCACAAAACGTCTTCCCTCTTACTCCCTTACTCATCTTCCTACCACAAAAATTACCAGGGCTTTTTTTTTTTCCCCACTTGAACCAATATATAAAGTATATCATCAGACATTTGGTAATGTACATTCCAGCAACGCAAAGAATGAGGAATGGTAGAGGAACACGTTTCATCTCTCTTTCCAGGGTTCTGTGAGGAACCGAAAATCTTGTCGATCAAGTCTAAAATGAGAGATAATCAGGCAGTGTTTAACGTAAGTACAGTTTTTACACTGTGACATATTTTCTGATTAAGTTGTATATGAAGTTGACATAGGAGATAGTATCTGACAATCTAGTTATCTACAAGCCACATAGAGATGTATTTCACACAGTGCCCTGAACCTGTCAGATAATTCCTTCACAATAACTCTGGCCTCAAGCTTAAAATGTGGTTCAGAAGTTGAGGTCATTAGTCTTTTCTCTACATTCAAACTGGCAACTCTAGCTGTGGTAGAATAGGCTGCACTGCTGGTACAACCATACTCATTTAAAAAAACAAATATTTGTATAATAAGTACAATTTTTTGAGTGAAAAATGTTATGTTCCAATCAATCTTACCATTTCCTCTTTTAAATAGAAACAGGTTTTGCACATCTTATGTGGCAGTGCCAACTGTAAAATGTTCTTGAAACACCCACTGCACACCACCAAAACCTTAATGATTCATTAAGTCTTTCATTCCAACAATTAAGACACAAGTAGTAAGAAAAAAATTTATCTTTAAACCCCTTTCCACAGCACAGTCATCCTACTCAGAAGCTGTAGAGAGCTAACTAAGCTCCTTAAATCCCTCCTATTTAACCCACTCCTAAAGAACATCATGATGTTCTAATGAGGTATCAGTGTAAGATTCTGTCCTTTGCTGTAAAACACTAGCAATTATTCCACAAAACAGTTCAGGTTAAACCAGACTTTTGCATAACTGGTTAACATAATGGAGTTTTAGAGTTTGTATACTCTTCTACATGAGGCAAGGTACTGAATGACAGATCTGCCTTCAGGCAGGTCACAGAGATCACAATAACCCACCCAAACAAAAGGAAACCTAGCTGTCACCGCTGGGATAGCAGAAACCCACATACTGTAGTAGTTTATACAGTCTGTCAGTTGGTTCAGCAGTGATGAATTTCTCTTTCTTTGGCTGCCTGCCACTGAACAAAAGCTAATCTTTCACCTAAACAATCAAGGCATTGAATGCACAGGAAGCCTTATCTTCTGACTTATGACATAAGATCACACACACAGCTGGCGAAAATAAAGAGGCGCTGCCCTGAATAGCCAAGCACAGCAACTCCTTAAGTACAGTGTGATTTTTAACACCCAACCAACTCCGCCACTTGGCACTAGCAGCTGATGCATCTGTTTTGCCAGCCACAGATGTCACAGTGGAAAAATCTGACTCGAACAGTGTAACACAGAAGAGAAATTTAAGACCACGTAATATATCCTTAACTTATTCGGTCTTCTTGACACATACGAAAACCATATTTGCATCTACCCTAAAAGAATCTTCAGGTGCTTGTTTCTGTTTCAGGTGTGCAAAACTTAAGTGACTATTCACCTTAAAATAATTTATCTGTAAACAAGATAGAAGAATCCACACACATTATCCTCTTAACAGCCAACCTCTGAAATCCCTTAAAAAAAAAAAAAAAAAGACAAAAAAACAACCCACCAAAAAAAAAACCAACTCAGAGAAACTAAGGAAAAAAAAACACACAAAAAAAACCAAACTAACAAACCCACACACACTAAACCACAAAACCCACTAGCCACAAATATGCCAAAAACATTATTTCCTGACCACTGTTCAGCCAGCAAGCTGAAATGCAGGAGCAATACCTCAATTTAAGTATGCAGTTAAGCAATTAAACACTGCTAAGATACAAAGCTAAAGTTGTGAAGGAAGCCTTATGTGGCCACTTCTGGACTCAAATGCCACACATTCAAGTGGAAAGCTCAGTAGGTATGGAAAGTTCACCTCAGTTTAAATGTTTATAAAGACATTTAAGTCCCAAATAACTTTGTTTCACCGAAACGATTACCACATTAAATGAAGAAGGACTGGCTGATGCCACTGTATCAGTACAAGTCAACCCTCTCATATGCAGGTGAACTGTGGCTTCTTCATTTTATTCACATGACTCTACCTTAACAATTATTTACACACCACACTGCATAAGGAAACACTGCTGCAGTCTAATTTTTGGGTTTTCACTCAGCAGCCCAAGTATTCTGAAGGGCTTCACACAAACTAAGTGCAGCATCCACATAGCAGGCAGGCCTTAAAAACATTAAAGCTTGTTCAGTGGGAAGTTTCCCCATCACTGCATTTTTCAGTAACAAAGATGTTGTCAGAAATGGCAATTTTTCGTGTCCCTTGATGATGCCTTGCTAGCATTTGGTTATAAGCCATAAAGCAGGAATAATTTCAGCCTGTCAGGAGTCTAGCTAATGCCCACTTTCCCCTAGAGAGAATTCCTGTCAAATGTAATGAGAGCTCCAAAGGCCCTCTCTACAACATAATGAGCACTTAGGCCATGCTGGTGATCAGCCAGCAAAAAGCATCAATTTGAGCCCGGCTACACCCTTGGGGCTAGACGTCATCAGTTTTAATAAGAATTATGATTACTATCTGCCAAAAGCCTCCTCAAAACTTATTGTTAACGGTGGAAATACAGAAGAATGTCACTGGTAGGGTGTTTTTTTTCTTGTTTCCTGTAATCTAAGACCACCTACACACTGGAACTGTAACACCATTTGGCATCCTCACTGCAGGAATCTAAATCAGGAGTCTTTAACATGAAGGTGCTACTTTTATTGGAAATTAGAACTACTTAACATGTAAAAGCATAGTATCTAAGACTCACATGCAAGGAAATGTATTATCCCTTCAAATGCTTATTATTACTCTTTTAGCAGCCTACACAGAGCAAGGGTGCTCTGCTCTCCTTGGCTAGGACCCATATAAGTATACTTGCCTGTCATAAATCTTAAAAGCTCCCAGAGTATCACTGCCTACTGGCTACGGAATTATAGCTGCCATACATACAGAACATTAAACCCTTGCAATACACAGATGTTAAGGTCAAAGTGGAAACCTCAGTTTCCACTCTTTAGTCCTTTGGGCTAAATTGATTTCATCTAAAGTTAACTCCCAGTACATTTACTGAAGTCACATGTTCTCTTCAAATGTCTTCTGAAAACAACATCCACTTCACACCAAACAAGGCTCCCATACAGGTGATGTTGGCTTCCTCATGGGATACAGTGTGCCAGAAAGTTGTTTAAGAGAAGGAAAAAAATAAAAAAAAAAAAAATTCAAGACAGAAATCTCCAAATCACAAAGCCTGGAAAAGTCATATCACAGAAAAACTTAAGTTATTTTTGAACATTAGAAACATGAAGACTAATGCAGCTACAGCAGAGAACAAAGTCAAACACAACTGTAGCCGCTCTGCCTTAAAAGAACTCACCAAAAGAGGTTGTCATAATATTTCTTTTTTCACTGCCATTTTGGATTCAAGCAAGTGTACTTCTAAGAACCAAGAGAACACCTACTCAGCTTTGCAGACAAGAAGTTGTCATGGAATTACAATACCATCTTACCAAATACAGTATTTTCGGGGGTGGGGAAATATATATATATATATATATATATATATATATATATATATATAAAAAATTAAAATCAAACAGTCCACAGTTACAAAGGCAAAATTCAACTCTGCAATTCACTTGCTTAATAAAAGTCTCTGAATATACTGAAGATCTTAAGCCTGAACTAATCAATTTCTTCGCTGTGCCCTAGCCGGTCAGCCATGCTCTTTAATTTAATGAAACAAGAGTTTTAGATGAAATAGCACATACACATCACGAAAGAATTGTATTGTTGCACTTTGAAATGTGTCCAACTGTGCAACTTCATCTAATGATAATTTTTTTTAAGAGGCCATCGATTTCTGAAAGACTTATTGTACTAGCATCTTGATGAAAAAGTGAATGTCAGCATATCTACAGAATACTTACACCCTGCCATTAATGCTTTATTTGGCAGACAATGACTACTCAATTGAGGGTCCTCTGGGCTGAGCAATCATTTAGCTTTTCTTCTCTTTTGAGGTCCTTAGTGTCTTGTTCCAGTTCAATACTCTTTTTATTCACCATTATAGTGGCCATAACTGTGAATTTTATGGGAACTTGCAAGCTCATAGTCATAACTAGAGCTTTCCAAGTCACTAATCTTTTCATACTTTTAAATGGCAAGGATTTGAGCAACTGTCAATAGGTATGCTACTCATGCTTAAGAGCAGTTCTGCACATCAAAGGCTCTATCACTAACAAAATAAAACAACGTAAAGCACCGAATTGTATTTTGAAGCTTCAGACACAAGACCTTTCTTATTTTTGCCAACATCTTACAGGACCAATACCAAGAAACCCTTGTTGCTCAACCTAATCTATACGTCATTTGACAGCAGGTAGGCAAGGGCACATGATACAGTCCTTTGAACATAAACAGAATGGCTACATTTAAATGCACTAGACTGAATATTTTGTGGTTTAGAAAACAAAGCACCTTACCTGTTTGTGCATTTCAATGTTTAATCCATACGACATTTCATAATACTGCAAATAAAGGAGCATACGTTATCTTGTTATGCTGGCTTACACTATATTAGGACATATTTACTGAAATAAAGAAAAAGCAAATATACTTACCATCACGTAGTGCCTCTGCATTTCTGTCTTTTCACTTGCCAGTTTCTCACATTCCAATTTAAGGCTACAAAACAGATCACACTTTAATGTAACATGTCATTTGTTTTGACATGTACCCACTTTATTTGTATTTTGACAGAAGCAGCTAATTAAAAAAAATCATAAACTAACAGACACAGACAGAAAAACTTAACTCACATAAAACATAAAGGCTGAACAGGAAATTTAAAAGGTATTTTGTGGGTGCTGTGTGAGACCCAAACTGCCTCCAGAACTCAAATATATCCAATATTCGTGTTTTGACAGGGGAGCTGCCATGAAGTGGTACAACTTTCAAGCTATAAAAGGATGTGAATTTCTCCCAAGTACTACTTCTCAGTAGTCAGAAGCATTTCTTTGTACACAGCATTTAGTAAATTACTGCCAAGTAACACCACCCATGTTTAGAATTACAACTGAGTATGTCTATAATTCTTAAGTAATCTCAAGCCAGCTTTATCTTCCCCCAGTTTGAAAATAAGTAACTTTGACTATCAATTGATAGCAGGTTTGTTTTCTATTTTTGCTTCCATAAATGAAAAAAAGTTGAATTTGGTACTTGCATATCTCATCACTAACCACAGCACAATTCTGACTAATTCCACTGAGGGCAAATGCCTCCATGGTCCCTTTGATCTCCGCAAACTATTCTTGTTTTGGGTCTTTTCCTGTTGTTTTGGTTTGGATATTTGTTTGGTTGTGTGTTTTTATTTGTTTGTTTGCTCGTTTTTAATGACACTAGTAAGCAACCACGGGAACTGTTAAGTAAGTCAGCATTTTTCACTTACCATTGCAATACGAAATGTTTACAGTTTACACTGTATTTCTAAAGTAATAAATGATTCTAACAAGCTAACGATTTTAGGCAAGACTAAAAATGTAGCATCTCAGGTAATAAACAGGAAGCCCAAGCAACACCAGGCTATTTCTACCTGAGAAACCTGCAAAACCTTTTATTCCTAGCCAGATCTTGCTGGTCCATGTAAGTACAAAATTAAGTAAGATCAATGCCTTTTAATGGCACTTGCCCTGTGTACGCCAAGAACCAATACCCTAAATCTCTATACGGACTTAATCAGCAAGAACACAAAACTCGACAAGAACACCTAAATGACAGCACAGCAGTCAAACACATGTCAGTATATTCACATCAACTCTGTGTTAGTACTCCAGTACTTGCGTGCTTTCACAATCCTTCTCGGCTCTTTAAGCACCCTATGTTAGCATTTTATTAACCTTTCCATTATCACCGCACACAAATAAGCAAACAGGAGAATTTGCCTCCTTAATGCACTATGCCCACAGAATTAGCGCAGGTCTTCTCTCTATACTTTAAAAAATCTTCCACGTAAGGATCCCCAACAAATAGGGGGGTTTAAGTGCATACAAGCGCCAACCGCTCCAGCTTCCACGGTACCACCCTCCCTTGGCTGCCCGGGCCTCAGCTCTGCGGGACGAACCCTCAGGGCATGGGCCCCCCCCCCCCAACTCCGAGCTCCCCGGACCCTCCGCCGCCGCTGGCGCCCGGGCGCCTCTTGCCACCTTTGCGCTAATCGACGCTGCCGGGGGCCGGGCCCGGCGCGCGGCGCGGCTGAACCGCGACGCCACCGCCTGGACGCCGCCGCTCAGTGCAGCCCCCCATGCCCGGCCGGGGACAGGGAGAACAACCCCCCCCCCCCGGTCCGAGGCGGCCCGCCGTCCCTCACCTGTGGTACTGCGCCTGGAGGAACTGGAACTCCTCCTTGATGCGGTCCAGCGACTCCGGAATGGTGAATTTGAAAGGCTGGCCCGCAGCCTGGTGCGGGGTCTGGCGCGGCGGCGGCCGGCACGGGAGAGAGAGGCACGTTCAGACACGACGCGGCCGCCCCGCGAGAAGAGGGGAGAACGGCGCTGCCCGCCGCGGCAGGGCCGCAGGGATGCGATGAAGCAGAGAGTAAAGCGAGGAGGCAGAGGGGAGCCCGGCCCGGCTGCCGCCGCCCCGGGGCGCTGCTCACCTGTTACCCACCTTCTCGTCCCTCATCTGCGAGGCGACGCTCGCCACGCTCAGGGAGCCGCTCGGGCCCCGACCCACCCGATCCTGCCGCCACCGCCTACGGGAGAGCGGGGCGTGCCGGCTCCTCCCCGCCGACCCTCGCCGCAGGAGCACAGCCGGGTGTCGCATCCGGCAGGCATGGGGGTGCTGCTGGGGTGGGCGGCGACCCCCCGCCGCATCCCCAAGGCAAATTAAGTTGCCCGCGAAGCAGAAAGGATAGGGGGAAGGGGGGGAATCAGGGGAAACGTCCCCTCTCTGGCCACGCCCGCAGGCAGGATGGGCCGCTCCTCCCTCGAGAGGACAAACTTGAGAGGGCATCCAGCCACTCTGACCCCCCATTTGGGTGGGGAGCTGGGGGTGCACACCGACGGGCAGCGCCGACAGCTAGCAATGCCCAGCCCCGCGGAGGGGCGCCCGGGCAGTACTTACAGGGTGCCGGCTCTGGGGAAACATGACTCCGGTCGCGGAGGGTCTCCCTCGCAGCGCGGCTCTGGCGGGGAGCCCCCCGCCCTGGCCTGGCTTCACGCCCGGGGCGGCGAGGGGGCAGGAGCAGCGACGCCCGCCAGCCGCCTTCCTTCTGCCGCGCCTTTCAGTGGCCGCCCCGCGGGAACATCCTCCGGCCGCGGGGTCTTTTGTTGCTGCTGCTCTGGGTTGGGGGGCCCGGGAGAGGTGGGTGGGCTCCGCTGGGGACTGTCACCGCCGCTCCGCAGCGCCTGGGTGCGGCGGGACAGGAAGGGATCCGGCGTAACGAGGGGGTACAACCGCCGTCCGGATGAACGGTCCGCTCCCCTTCGTGGGCTCTGGAACTGCAGATGTAGCTGTAAGGCTGGAAAGCCCGGGCGGAGGCAACTCCTCTCCCCACTCCTGCCCCTCACCAAGGGGGGGGGGGGGGGTGGTGTGAGAAATCCAGCCGGGAGAACGCGGTGTCAGCGGCGGGACCGTCGCAAACGGTGGGGGCGAGAGAAAGTCTCCGCAGACAGCCGCGCTGCTCCCGAGAGTCGGTGAACGGACGAGGTCATCAGCAAGACACGGAGCGGCGAACAAGGGAGGAAGGCGGGAGGCGGCGGGGGAGAGCTTTGCGCAGCCGGCCCCGAGCGGAGCCGCTCCAGTAGCTCATGCACGACAGGCAAGGGGGCAGGGAGGGGGAGCCACACACGCAGCCGAGACTCCTCCGTTACTTGCAGATAGGTCCCTCGGACAAAAGAGAAACGAAAAAAACACTTAGCGCTAAAGCCCGCTAGCCCGAATGGCCAATCCGTCCGACCCGTCGGGTGAGAAGAAAAAGAAGAAATTTAACACAAAAGCGTCCGTATCGGGGCTAGTTCAGACGGGAAGCTCCTTCGTGCAACGGTACCACTACAGCCTCCTCTGGGCGGGCGCACATCGGGGAGCTGCGTGCCTCATCAGAGCCCCCCGAGCGCGGTACATCGCGGCGGCACCACCATCATCATCATCATCATCATCATCATCGTCGTCGTCGTCGTCGTCGTCCTCCTCCTGGCCCTGCCCCACCGCTCCCGGCCGGCTCGACCGAACGCCGCGGGAGCGCTCTGGGTCGCTGAGGGCCCGGGCGCGGGTCGGGCGGCCCGGCGGCAGGCGCACGGCGGGACGGGACGGGACGGGACGGGACGGCAGCGGAGCACACCGCGCTGGCCCGCGCCGCTTACATTAGCACGCGGTTTCACACTCCGCCAGCTAACCGGCCGCGCGGCACCGCCCACCCTTCCGCGCGGGGGGGCCATACGGGGAGAGCCGCCGCCGCTGACCAATCGGCGACCCCGGAGGCAACGTGGGGCCGTGATGCGTGGGGGCGCCGCGGACCAATGGCGAGAGCTCGTCTCCCACCGCCTCTCAGCCTTTCGCTGGGAGCCGTTTGTGGCGGAGCGGCAGGGGCTCTGCCAGCCAACCAATCGGAGGGCAGGAAGCGCGCGGAGCCTCTGGGAGGGGGGAAGGTCGACGGGAAGGAGAGTGGAGAGGTTGAGCTGTCAGTCAAAGTAACGTGGGGCGGGAGGGGCGGGGAGCGGCGGATGGGGGGTGCGGGTCCTCCTCGCCGGAGCTGGGGTTCGCTGTGCTTCTGTACGGTGCCAGGCGGTCGCCGTTCTTAGCTAGCGCGGACTCCGCGCTTCCAGCGCAAGGGCCCCTTGGCCAAAGGAGTGCTGCCCTCGCCCGCGGGTGTTCACCCAGCGCGAGTCGGCGTCTGCCGGCCGTCCGCACTCGTGCCCAGGCTTCCCCATCCTAGGAGCCGGAGCTGTGGGTCGGGCAGGCTGTCATAGCCGTCCTGCGTGCACGGCGGTGCCGGTGCGCGCGGTAGGACCTGCTGACGGTGCTGCTGGCAGTACAGGAACGTTGTGTGAGGAACAGCCTCCAGCGCGTCAGCTGAAGTGTGGGTCACAGTGACCCCCTATACGGCGGACGTCGTCCTTTGGGGGAAAGTCGTTTTCTGCGTAAGAGGGGTCTCACAGGCAGGGGAAAGCTGTCAAGAGCTTTGCTGCAGTAAGTGTTTTATAGGCCCACTCGAGGTTGGTGAGGGTCAAGCAAATCCCACAGACTCTGCGTGTGGCGCTAATGAGATGACAAACGGCGACGCAGCTTGCAGTGGGAAGTAAACTTCAAAACATACTCTCTGTTAACAGCCACCCTATTCGTACCAGAATTACGCGGTAGAGTGTGAAATACCAGTACCTTCAGACTTAATGCGTTAAAATGTATTTAGGCTGTTAGCGCGCCTTTATAACCTCCAAAAAGAGGCCTCAAAATGTTGTATCACATCATTTAAAGTCGATAATTTTTATAATTTGCTTTTTTTTACAATTCCGCATTAATGTTTTCTAGACACACTTATTTAGAGTTGTATTATGCTTCGTCTTGTATCCTAGGGAAAGAGCAGTCTTTCTTTCAAATTTCATACACAATTCGGTATGTTCCCTGCTCATTGCAGTGGGGTTGGACTAGACAACCTTTGAAGGTCCCTTCCAACCCAAACTATTTTATGATTCTGTGTCGCAATGTCAAGTTACAGCTTTATTTGTTCAGAGTCTTATTTCCGTACAACATTATTCCCAGTTTTACATAGAAACGACCAAAGGAAAAGAAAATTAAACTTCCCCCAGTCTTTTGCAATGAAGTTTTGGTTTTCGCTTGGGAATCCAAACTGAATGAATCCATGTATGCTTGAGTGCATGTGTTTTTGTGAATTTATATGTGCATGAGTAATAGTGTTTGTACCTGTGAATATGTGTGTGTGTGTCTATATGTATTATACATTTATGCATACGTGTTTGTGAATACATGAATAGATGTGAGGCCTTTGAATATATTGGCTCTTTTTTTTTTTTTTTTAAGAGATGAGGCAAAATACCCTTGATAGTGACCTTTGATAGCTTCTGGTTCCCAGGAAGGGAATGTGAACTTGTCTGGTGTTCTGCCTGCATAAGTAAAGCTAAAAATCTTGCTTTCTGTTCCCAGCTCTTTCCTTGTAGTCTTGGACAAGCCAAATCACTGATCTGTTCATGGCATTGGAAAGCTTAATTAGTTAATGCTTATAAAGTACTTAGATCTTCAGATCAAAGATGCCATAAAAATGCAAGGTATTATTATATACTTTGTGTGTGTACCTAGTAGCTATGGAGTCTGTAATAATGTAACACTTACCTAACTTTGGTTGTACTTCGCTAACCTGCCAGCGCAAGTTGTTAATGAGATATTAACAGATATGACATTACAACAATGTTTTGGAATGTAAACAGAAGCTTTTATTTTTTTTTTCATTTTGATTGCTTGCCTATATGAAAGTTGAAATGTCTTGTAACCTTTATTTGTCATCATTAAAATGTCCGAGGCATGTTTTAACAGAAAGAGTATTGCTGTATTCTACTGATAGGTTTTAGGTTTTGGTTTTTTTTGTTGTTTTGTTGTTTGTTTGGTTGGTTTTTTTAACAAGTGTTTTTAACCTACTTAGATTCAGAATTCACACACTTCAGGGCATTTTGAATCTTTTTTTTCATTATAATCAAGATAAAGAGCTCTAAAAGTAGTAGTGGAATCAAATGTGATTATTTTTACTTTTTTTTTTTTCCAAATGAGAGCCACTGACATTACATGACATGAACCATAACCAATATGATCTGATATTTAATTTATAATGCATCATTGTTGGCTGACTAGAGCATAAAAATTTCCTTTTTGTTAGTCACATATAAATCGAGGTTAGTCTTGGAAAACTGAACATGCTCATTCCGTGGCAGTACTCACACCAGTGAAAAACAGGCCAAAATATGTCCGAGCATATAGTAAAGAGCCTTATTCAACTGAAGGTAGCATTTTATACCAGATCATTATACCACAAAACTATACGTCTTCTACAGAATTCTCTAACTGGATTAAGCATAATTGTGTTTAAACCTTTGTCTCATATTTTTAAAATACAATAAAAATATTGCATTCAGTATTAACCCCCCAAAAGCTGTTCTGTTTAATTATCCGTTCAATTCTGCTGTTTGAAATCAATTGTTTTTCACTGTAAGCATTTTAATGTAGTGCCCCTATCTCATATAGCAAAGGGCCTAATCCTGCACTGACTATGTAATGGAAGCTCACACTGGAAGCAGCTGGAGCTTTGAGCCAAAAAACAAGTACTGGTTTCAAAATGCAGTTTGAACGTATTGGAAGGGTTTCAGGTATAGCATCTGTTCTTTAGGGAAATGACCTATTGTGTGACGTTCTGTTTACCATACTGTTTGGTTGGGCTTTTTTTCCTTTGCTATTAACAGGACTATTGCACGCAATATTTTTTAACTTCCCACAGGCTGGCACATATAATGAAAATGTTGATGATGTTAATCACTAGGAGTTGGCTGCAGGTGGGCGGGAAACTATTTAGCAAATTTGTAATATATCCCACTGTTCTACTATCTATACAGTGAGAGAAAATCAGTAGGGGAAGCAATTACAGAATTCAATAGATTTTACACTCTCAAAATTTTAGATTGAGAGATCTTTTGATTTTCAACTGAAAGAGAAACAGTGTATGTTTAAGAATTACGTTTATGTGCATGGAGTATGGGACTGTTCTTTCTTTATTAATGGCAGGATGGCACAGGTATAGAATAGAGTTAAAAATAGTATCTGAGTTATAGAGTGCATGTGGTATAGTAGTGACTACCCATACAGCTGCAAGAATAATAATTATTGTGAGGGCATGCAAAACAATATCACTTTTAAAATATTTCTTTATTTATGGACTGCAAATGATATGAGCAGGGTAAAGCAATTACATTTCTAATTATTAACTA